CGGGCCAGCTGGGGCTGGAAGGTGGGGAAGGTAGAGAGGCAGACTAGAGGCTGTGTTTGAAGGTGCTTTGATGAATTATCTTCTTAGGCTGGGCTTCCACAGGGCTCCTCCACCGAGGCATGGGAACTGGGGGGGGCTGAGAGGAGAGAGCACCGAGAGAGAGTGAGGTGCGGCAGTCATCTGAGCCAAGGGAGCCTCTCCCTGAGGCAAGTGTCAGGGGCCAGTTCAGCAGCTCGGGTGGTGCCTGCCAGGGTGAGCACATCCAAATCACCCTCCCTCCTGGTGCTCGTCCAGAATCAGTGCTCCTGAGGCTGCACACCCACTACCTATGCAAAGAGACGGGGCTTCCCCCAGAGGTGTGGGTTGGTGCGAGGGCCTGGGCCCTGAGAAGGCAGGGGACACAGAAAGCAAGAAAGCAAGTCCCAGCCTTCTGCAGTGCCAGACCACTTTGCAGGCAGCATCCATTTGCCCACCTCGGTGCTACTTAGAGCTGGTGTCCCTAAAACCCTCAAGACTTGAGTTTGCAGCACCAAGGGGCACAGGGTTGCGAAGTGAAGCCAGCAGAACAAAGGAGGCTTTTCTGGAGAGGGAGGCACCTTCGACTCAGGCCTCAGGGCCTGGGGAAGTGACTCACTGGGCCCCTGGGATGGACCCACCCATGGAGGTTCAGGGGGGCTGGGAATGCAGCCCGGCTGCCCAAGCACAGGCCCCACGAGGTGGGAAAGGGACTGTCAGTTTCCTGTCTTACGTGGGTGGAGCTCTCCCCAGTGCTGCCTCCCACTGCCCTCCCAAAGGAGCTGGTGTGCGCCCAGCCTGGGGGTGTTGGGGGGGGGTCTGTGCTCACAGGGCACTGCCGCTCAGGGCTGTTGCCACTGCTGCCTCCGCTGGGGGCGGGGGGTGGGGGGAGCAGGCAGGGTCCTCTGTGCCCAACACTCACCCCCATTGGCCCAACAGGGACCTGGGCCCCCAGCTCTCAGCGGAGCCACACTGCCCCACATCAGCGCGAGGCCATCAGTGCCATCCCAAGGTGGCAATGTTGGCATCTGGCTCTGCCCCAAGCCCCCCCGGACGCCTGTGCTGAGAACTTGGAGAGCTCTGCGCACCCAGCTTCCAGGCAGGGCAGTTGCACAACCTCCCCAATTACGCTCCGACTCCTGTGTGGCAACCCGGCGAGAATTCCAAGACCTTGTACATACTCGCAAGAATCTGCCTTCCTGCTGTTTGGCCGCAGGGCGAGGCGGGTCTCTGTGGGCCCCGGGAAATGGGGGTGTGTTCGCGTCCAAGAGGGCGTGGCCCGCGTCCCGAGTGGGCGCTGCCGCCCCACCCTGCTGGTACAGGCGGTGCGCCCCAAACCGCAGCTTCCTCGGGAGTCCTGGACCAGGTCCAGGACACAGAGCAGGAAGCTCTAGTGACACGCTCGACACGGGCTTCGAGGAGCAGGCCTGGCCGGGAACAGCTGGAGCCAGGGGCAGGTGGCACCCCCAGCCCATCTAGCCAGGCATGTGGGGGTCTGTGTGCTCAGGGGGGCAGGGTGGGCGTCCTCAAGGGACCCTCCCGGGTCCATCCCTCTCTTTAACACTTTGTCCTGGTTCGTGATGTCTGTGTTAGGAGGTCCTCCACCATCCGGAACCATAGTCCTGGGCCCAGCACGGGTGACCAGCTGAGAGAGAGCTGTCAGAACTGGCTGCTCTGCGTAATGGAAATTAAGTAAAGAATCCAAGCGCAGCTGACCTCCAGCCCTCATGCTTGTGTTTCCCCGGGGCTTGTGCCTGCTTCTTTCCCTGGGCCTGTCATTGGATTTTTGGAGAAGCCTGGCTCACCATGGAGATGCCAACACTGAGGCCTCAGAGGTCCTTAGCCCCATGTACAAGTCAAGGAACCTGGGGGTCATCCATGCTGATGTCATGACAAACTTGAAAAGTGTGATATGGGAATTTCTCTTCCAAGTTATGTTACAGAGCCTCAAGCAAACAATTCTTGCCGATAAACAAATGTCTTCTCTCAGTCTCATGGGCTCAGTCTCCACGTGCCTGCAGAGGTTGGCACATGCTGGGCCAACCCTGGCCCTCCCTGGGTGGTTGGGAAGACAGGATCTTGCAGTAAGCAGAGACCCTTTTGATAATGGACGTCCAAAGCCTCCATGGTCACATTAGGTCAAAATCATATGAGCCTAAAATCACACACATTCTGTACAAGACATCCTTCCACTGAGAGTAGGAGGGTGGGACTAGAAATAGAGCCTTTCTCTGTGGATAAACAGCAACCAACTGGAAGTTGTATGGGGAGACACACCCGCAGGAGGGGTCCCTCACTCGTGGGAGACCCCACGCTGCTTGTGGCTCGGGCAGGTGCCTTGTTTGTCCAGCTCTGAGGCTAGGGGACGAGAGCTAGCATCTAGTGTCCCAAAAAGGATCAGCTGGGGGCGAGGGGCGGGGACTACCCAAAGGCTGGGCTCCCCTCTCCACTGAAAGCTCACAGAGAGATGCCTTTGGGCTTCCCGAGATGTGAGGGCAAGGACTGAAGCCAGGGCTCGGAGTCCAGGGAGAGTTTCTGGTCAGCCCTCCTTTCTGACCCTCAACCCTCACTGGGGTTGTGTTCACTTCACAAAACTGATGCTTCTAAGAGAACACCACTGCTAGCCTTGCTCCTAGCAGGAAGCTGCCCTTAGCTGCCACCATTTCCTTTATCTGTCCCTTGGCCCACAAAGGGCTACTTTATGGGCCCCCATCTCCATCAAACTGTGACATCACAATTCCTGTAACATCCCACATTAGCCCAGGTGTCAGGCTCAAGGCCAGCAGCAGCCTTCTCTGGCCAACTCTTGTCCCTCCAGCTCTGTCTAGAGGTCCCCACTGGGTTGAACCAAGCACCCCGCCTTGAACTGAAAATCCTCTGGCACCCCCTATTTTTGTATGTTTTACCTTGTCATCTACTCCAGAGAAACACCAATCTTGTATGTCCTAGAATGTCCTTCAGGGTCACTGCAGCTGTTCTCCTGTCTCCAGAAAATCAGGAGAGAGAACAGGGCTCAGTGGGATGGGGCCATCTTGGTAGGTCTGCCTTCTGGATAAGGGGGGTAGCCCCCCAATCCCATGCTCATTGGATCTGCTGGGCTTGGCTAATGAGTCTTCCCTTGGTCAGGAGCTATCACATCCACATTTCTCACATCCATGTTTCTTTGCCCGCTTTCAAATGTACTAGTGGTTTGGCGCGCACGCGCGCACACACACACACACACACACACAGTCCATACAGTGCAAAAGGCCCAACACACCCTGAACACAGGAATCCAGGTTGGGGGTTCAGGAGAGGCGAAGGTAGTCCAGAAGTCTGCCTACACTGCCCCTACTCACAGCAGGGTGGATGCTAGGACACTGGGGACCATCCAGCCCCTCAGATTGGGAAGGTTCAGTATTGGGGACCTGAGCTACTCAAGCCCTAAGTGACCAAGCGAAGCCCCAAGTGTGAGGAGTGGTGGCTCCAAAAATCATCCAAGCCAGAGTACCTTCTTGTGGCTGCCTCAGTGGAACAGAAACGAAGCACTAGCCCTGCATGTGTAATTTATAAAATATCATTTATTTATTCTAAGGAACATGGCCAAGTGGTAGCTTTAAAAAAAAAACCAAACCTTTTAAAAAGATACTATTTATTAGTGCTGTGACCTGGCTTTGAGCCCCATGTGAGCGGAGCAGCGGCAGAAGCCACCTGCTACGTTGTGCCCAGGCCTCTCCGTCCAGTTGCTTATAATCAAAAGTAATTACTTTTGAGGTTTACAAAGAGCAGAAGTTAACATTTGTACTGCTGGTATTTGATCAAAAGATTACTTATATTCATTCCAGGAAGTATATAAATGTTTTAAAGGAACTGAAAATTGGTACTTACTGTTTTGGGGACTGTATATTAGAATTTTAGCATTACTACGGGAGCATAGTATTTCTTTACAAATTCAGAAATTCCCCAGTTTATGTAAAATTATACTTCCTGATTTTACTTAGTAAAGAAGAAATAAATTAAAAGTAACATTCAGTAAGGTACTTTTTTGTTTTTTAAGCACTATGGTTTACTCAAAGATCGTTTGCTTAGAAATGTGAGGGCATCTCCACCAACCAGCAACCGTGCTGGCTACCATACCAGAAAAATCCATGAACATACGTCGCAGTAAGCTGTTCTCACAAGACTTTCTTTCTAATAAACACACCACTTTCTCCTCTCAGATGCCAAAATGCAGATGTGCCAACTGGAGGCGCGTTGCTAAGCAAAGGAGGCGGCCAGCAAGTCTGTCCAGCAAATTAGACTGTAGCGGGGTGGCGGCTGCTTTGCAGCCGACAGGAAGCAGCTGTGCTCTCGTCCTCCAGGCAGGTCGAGGCTGGTGGCCTTTATCCGGCACATAAAAGGGTCCTCATGGGTTGAACATAAGGGCTTTGAGGAAAAATACAAAAAAGCTCATTTAAATTGGAGGCCTCCGTGAACACCTTCAAACTCCTTCCCTGGGTAGAGATGCACTGAGGTCTTACGCTGCGCTCTGGCAATCTACCCTTCTCATGCCAGGGGCTGCATGTCCCCTGGCTGGCCCAAGCTGTGAACTGTCACCTTCTACTATTCTGTGGGGCTCTAAAGAGGATGTCAGCCTAAACCAAAAGCCAGAGAGGGAAAAATCTCAAACACTTAAGACTGGGTTCAAAAGCCCCTGAACACCTTTCGTCTGCCTTCCCTGGTTAGGGGCTGTGAGAATTCAGTCTGTGCGGCCCACAGGGGACAGGCACAGCAGTGAGGAAACAGCCAAGATGCAATCATAAATAACGGCCAGCTTGGGACCTTGCCCATCCCCCTCGAGTGCTGATGACACCCCCACCCCCCTGCACGACATCCAACGCAGGAATCCATTGCTGCTTCTGCACAGGACAGAGCCTCAGTCTTTTGCTTTACAGCATCGTTTATGGCATGAACGAGGAACGTAATGTGTTTACACCAACACGACAATTGTACATCAGCATCTTTACAATATTAAAGGAGTCATATACAAGTCTACAGGCATTGTATGCAGGATGGTGCCGGCTGGGCGCCCCACCCACTGAGCAGTTGTCTGTGGTTTCTCCACCTGGGAAGAGCCAGCTTGGTCAAGTGTGACAGGCTGGGGTGTCCATCTTTGGGCCTGTCATCTAAGAGGCAGCAGGTCTATGAGGAACCCGCAGGGCCAGTCCTTGTTAGAATCTGGGGCAAGAGTCCCAGGTATGCCTATATCCAGGTCTTACCAGCAGGCCAGTATAACAAATTCCATTAAAATTCAGTGTGCATATTAGTGTGGGAAAATCAGAGCTGGGACGGCTTCCTGAGGTGGGGACCCAGAGGATGCTGCTGACAGGTGGGCCCCTTCCCTGAGGGGCCCATTCATGAGGTAAGGATGCTATGTGGCCCTGTGGCTGGTCTGGATGGGGAGAGACTCCTCTGGGAGCCCAGGTGTGAGGACACACAAACTGGACTGGAAGCCCCTGGGTCAAGTGATCCACCAAGTGTGGCCCGCGCCCCAGGTGGCAGCAAGGTGAGGGTCTTAGGTGGTTCCACAGCCACCCGTCCCCCTCACCCAAACCACCCTCCTCCCAGAAGCCCGGCTCCAGCTCCTACAGAGCTGCCCTCCCTGCATGCCCCTAGAGCAGGGACCAGAGCTCGGCAGCTCTTCCCCACGTGGCGGGCATGCCGCACGTCTGACTGAGAATGGAGCACCAAATAAAGAAGTGTTGGTTCTTGTCCGCCTCTCTGGCTTGTGCAGTTGCAGTTACTTCTGTTTTAAATACTGTAGAAAAATAAGCCATCTCTGATGCAAGGAGGCCCACGGGAGTCTGCGACATGTGGGGGAAAGATGAAGAGCTCCTCTGCAGTGGGCTGGGGACGCCAGTGCGCACTCCGCCGTGGGGGGCCCCAGGGCCTTGGAGGATGCTGTGCCAGGCTGGGGAGCCAAGGGGCCCCAGGAAACTGGTGGCAGAGTTCCAACCGAGGCATCTTTGGGTCACATCAGCAATCCTTCGGTGAGCATGCCTCCAGCACCCCACATTCTGTTGACTGACACATGGGGTCCTGGGGCTCCCTGGGCTGGCCTCAGACCCTCTAGTCCCACCTTCAGTCTCACGAAGACCACTAAGCAGGTATATGCAGAACTTCCCAGCACTGTTTCCAGGTCCCTGGGCTGTCCCCAGGGCCAATGGGCCTCAGGTGGGCACTGAGGCAGGGCCTAGTCCAGGGGCTCCTGCTTTATCCGGACAGCGGTGGGGGTGGGCTGTGGTCGCCGCTCTTCCCGGCACAGCACATACTCGCTGAACTGGGAGGAGTCCACGCCACCCCCGCAGGACGCAGCCACGCTGAAACCCCTTTGGAACAGCCTCTCCAGGACCTGCCAGGAAGAAACACAGGTCAGCAATGCCCAGCTGCAAGTCTGCCCGGCTTGGCCTGCTGTGGAGCTGGGCCCTAGCTTGGGCAAGCCACCTTCTCCTGTCAACGTATCAAGTCTCATGACAGAGGTTCCAGAACCACCAGCTGGGCAAACGGGCAGTACAGAAGCGGCCAGGCTCCGGGGCCCTCCAGTGACCAAACCCAAGGGCTACTACACTGCTGCCTTCAGGGCCTCACAGCCTTGGTTCAGGGAGGGAGAAAGAGCCTTTGAGCCCTTTGTCTCTTCTCTAGGATATAACCTGCCCCTGTCTCTCCAGATATGTGGTCCCAGGGCCCCCTCTTCACTCAGACCTTTCTAATAATAGAGAGACCCTGCCCCCGGCCTCTGGGCAGCCACCTGCTTCCCTGAGCTTCGAGTCCCAGATGGTCTGAGGCCTGGGGGCTCATCAGCTCAAGGGAGCTGGGGGTGGAGGAGGAGGTATTCTCTCTGTGTTTGAGTTTCTGTAGGCCTCCATGTCCACGTGGGTTTGTGCTTCTGTGAGGGATGGGTCTAGTCACTGTCTGACACCTGTGTCCTGCAACTAGCAAGTCTGGCTGGCAGCCCATGGAATGTGTGCATGGTGGGCACTTTCCCAGCAAAGTTCACTCTGCCCCAAGTCTGAAACAGGGGTGTGCTCCTGGGTCTGGAAGAGCTGGTGGAAAATGCGCCCCACTCCATCTTGAGCTCCCCAACTCTTAGACCCATCTAGGGAAAGCCAGTCCAGAAATGCTCCGGGCAGCTGTCTGGGTGCCTGTGGCCCAGGTCAGCAGGGTGAGGGAGGGGCTCCAGGCTGCCTCCATGCTCAGCCTCTGACCTGCCGCTCCTGTCGTCTAGGTTTCATTCGAATCCAGACTCAGACTCTGGGTGTCAAACGAAGCACACTTTGTGAAAAGTACTCTGGACAATTTTTATAGAACATCTTTTTGGACCCAAAAAAAAAAAAAAGTACAGATCAATTTTTTTAAGTCCATCCCCCAGGCACCATCATTTAATTATGAGCAGGACATAAATTATGCATCCGTACATTGTTGCCTTTTCTGTGAGATGGCAGGGAGGGCTTCGCCATTTCAGGGACCGCGCCTCCCTCCACCTCTCTACTGCCGGAGGGCTTTGGGTGGAGGGGGGAGGCAAGCGGGGCAGACGTAGCTCTCACCTGTACCGAGTTGAGCCGGCAGTAGCCGTTGAGCGGGAAGCGGATGACATGCGTGGGGTCCTGGTTCCAGCCAGCGTTGACAGAGTTGCACATGACGTCCCCAGTCTCTGGGAAGACCTCCTCGATGAGGGCCTTCTCACCACTGAGCGCAATCCGCTCACCCAGGTCGGGCGTGACCCGCACCACCAGGCAGTCACAGGCCCTGCTGCGGCGCCGCTGCTCCTGCTCCTGCTGCCAGCGCTCCAGCTCGCGGACCATGGGCTGCAGCTGGTAGTATCGCGCCTCCTCGTACAGCAGGCTGAAGTCCTGCAGGAACCACAGACAGGCTGGAGGGAGGTGGGGGGCTGCCCTTTCTAACTCCAAGGGGCCTTCCTCTCACCATTCTACGGAACTGTGACTCCACCCACCCA